GGATAATATAAAAGGCTCACCTGAAATCACAAAAGGTGCAAAAAGCAAGGAAGACCAAAACAGGCATATAAATCAATCAATGAATAGGAAACAATAACAAATACGGTAGAAACTAAGACTACCAACACGCACTGTAGCATCGATGATCTAAATACATCCATTAAAAGTTGAAGATTGAAAGAGTGGCTCAACAAACAACACCCAACATATATTTCCTACAAGACGCCCAGTGTAAATATAGATTAAAAGTCAAGGAATAGAAGATTCAACTTGTTAACACCAATCGAAATAAAAGTAGAAATGGCTATATAAATCTCTGACACAGCAAATTTCAGAGTAAGGGAAGTTTTTAGGGATAAAAAAGGAACACTCCCTAACAAATGGGTCTAAGACATAATTCTCAATGTGCACATGCCCAACAACAGAATGTCAAAATACGTGAGGCACAGCCTGACGGAACTGCAAGGAGAAACAGATGAATCCACTGTTCTAGTCAGAGACTTCAACACCTCTCTATTAGAAATAGAACCAGCAGGCAGAGTCAGCAAGACAGAGCTAAACTCAACAGTGGCACCAACCAACTGAATATAATCGACTTCTAAGGCCTGCTTTATCCAACAACAGAATATACATTCTTCTCAAGTTTACCTGCAGTGTTCCCCAAGAGTGATCACACTCTGGGCTGCAAAACACACCTCAACAAATTTAAAGGAACAGTAATCATAAGTTGTATGGTTTCAGATCAAGGAGGCAAAAACAGAAACCTAACTAAGAACTCCCAAAACACTGGAGATTAGAGATAAAATATTTCTAAGTAACACATTAAGTGAAGAAGAAATGCCCAGGGAAACTCAAAAAACATTTTGAATATGGAAAAGAAAATTCAACTTATTGATATTTGTGGGATTTGACGAAAGTACTTGCAAGGGGAAAATTAAAAAATTGATTGTATGTAGTAGAAAACAAGAAAGAGCTAAAATCAACGATCTAAGCCACTACCATAAGCAATTAGAAAAATAGAAAATTAATTCTAAAGTAAAGTAGAAGAAAAGAAATAACAAAAATTAGTGATGATGAAAAAGGAAACTAACACAAAGAATCAACAAAAACAGAAGTTGGCTTTTTGAAAAGATAAATAAAATTGGGATTTCTCTAGCCAGACTAAGTGAAAAACAGAGAAGTCTCAAGTAGTTAATATGAGACATGAAGGAAGGGGCACCCACAGATCTCATGGACATTAAAAAGGTCACAGAGGACGAGTATGAATAACCCCATACCCACAAATTCAGTAAGCTAGCTGAAATCCTTGAAAAATAACATGTCAAAACACACACAAGAACAAACAACCTGAACAGACCCACATCTATTAATGAAATTGAACCAATAATGAAGAAGCTTCCCAAAGAGAAAGGACTGGCCCAGATGTGCTCACTGGTATACTCTACTAAACATTTAAGTAAGAAATTACACCAATTCTTTACAGTCTCCCCCAGATGACAGAAGCAGAGGGAATGCTTCCTAACTTATTCTGTGGGAGCAGTATTACCCTAATGCCAAAAGACAAAGACAATACCAGAAAAAAAAAAATAAACAGAAAAATACAGACCAACATCTCTCATGAACACATGCAAAAATCCTTGACAAAATATTAGCAAGTCAAATCTAACAATATACTAAAAATTAGATACCATGACCAAGTGGAATTTATACTACTTATGCAAGGTCAGTTCAACAAATGAAAACAAATTACTTTAATCCATCACATCAACAGGCTGAGGAAACATAATCATGTCAACAAATACAGAAAAAGCATTTGACAAAAGTCAATACCCACTCGAGATTGAAACTCAGAACAAACTAAGAATACAATGGGAAAATGTCAATTTGATAAAGAACAATCCACCAAAAAACCTACCACTAACATCATATTTAATAGTGAGAAATTCAAAACTTTCCTGCTAAAATCAGAAATAAGGCAAAGATAGCCCCTGTTTGCAACACTATACTGGAAGTCCTAGCTAAGTACAAAGCCAAAACAATAAATAAATAAGAGTTATACAGATTAGGAAGGAAGAAATAAAACTTTGTTCAAAGATGACATTACTGTTTCCATAAAATATATGAAAGAATCAACCAAAAAACTTCTGGGACTAATGAGCAATTATAGCAAGATTGTAATACACAAGGTTAATACACAAAGGTTAATGTGTTAATGTAACATTAATACACAAAGGTAAATGTGTTAATACATATTTGCGGCTTGCGCTGTGGCATAGTAAGTTAGGCCTCTGCCTGCATCCCATATGGGCACCGATTCATGTTCCGGTTGCTCCACTTCCAATCCAGCTCTTTCTTAATGGTCTGGGAAAGCAGTGGAAGATGTCCAAGTGCTTGGGCCCTTACAACCACATGGGCAGCCCAGAAAAGCTCTGGGCTCCTGGCTTCGAATTGGCTCAGCTCTGGCTGTGGCGGACATCTGGAGAATGAACCAGTGGATGGAAGACCTTTCTCTCTGTCTCACCCTCTCTCTGTCTCTCTGTCTGTAACTCTGCCTCTCAAATAAAACAAATACATCTTTTTTTTTTTTTTAAAGTCAATCACTTTACTACGCACCAGGAATGAACAAAGTACAAAGTTGAAATAAGTATGTACAAATCTAAACAAATATGTGGAGATTTATAAGATGAAATATACAAAATTCATGGGGCCGGCACTGTGGCACAGCAGAGTAAACCACTGCCTCTGAAGCCGGCATCCCATATGGATGTCGGTTTGTGTCCTGGGTGCACCGCTTCTGATCCAGCTTCCTGCTAATGTGTTTGGGAAAGCAGCGGAAGGTGGCCCAAGTCCTCGGGCCCCTGCACCAACATGGGAGAACTGGAAGTAGCTCCTGGCTGCTTTAAAAAAAAAAAAAAAAACTACAAAATTCTGATGAATGGTATCAAGGAAGAACTAAACAGAGAGCTGTTCCACGTTCATGGACATGTAGAAGACTCAAGAGGGCCATGATATTAGTCCTTCCCAGCTTGATCTACAGAGCCAATGCAATCCCCTTGGAAATCCCAGCAAGTTACTTGATGGCTATCAACAAACAAATTCTAAACTCTCTATGAAGCAGTGAAAGATTCTGAAGAGCCAACAATATCTTAAAGGAGAAGGAAAAACCAGAGGATTGATACTCCCTGACTTCATGGCTGATTATAAAGTTGTAGTACCAAGATAGCGTGATATTGGCAAAAGAGACAGAAAGATGAACTGAACAGAACAGAGAACCCAGAAATGGACCCACATAAATATGGTCAACCAACCTTGGCAAAAGAGCAAAGGCAACACAATGGAGAGAAGACAGTATTTTCAACAACACTTTCAACAAGCTGTGCTGTAACAACAGGACATCATATGTTGGGGGGGAGAATCTCAATACAGACCCTACATCCACCACAAAAATGAACTCAAAAATGGATCACAGACCTAACTGTAAAACACAAAACTACAAACCTCCTAGAGAAAACACAGGAGGAAAATCTAGGTGACCTTAGGTCCAGCAATGACTATTTAAAGACAAATACCAAAGGCATGATCCACAAGCAAAGAACTTAGGAGCTAGACTTCAATAAATAAAAAAACTTCTGCTCTGGGAAAGACACTATCAACATAATGAAAAGAGAAGCCACAGACAGGGAGGAAATGTTTGCAATAGTCTGGCTTGATATAGGACTGTTATCCTAAATATCCAAGGAGCACTTAAAAACCCAACAGTAAGAAAATAGCCTAATTTTAAAAAGAACAAAAGACATGAACATCTCACCAAAGGAGATACAAAGATGACAAATAAGGATATGAAAAGATATTCCCTGCCATGTCATTAGGAAATTGCAAAATAAAATAACAGTGAAACCCCCTGTACACCTAGTGGAACGGTCAACATCCAGAAAATACCAGTGCTGGAGAGGCTTTGCAACAGGAGCTCTCAGTTCACTGCTGCTGGCAAAGCAAGATGGCACAGCCACTCTGGAGGTGTCTGATAATCTCTTCCAAAACGCTCTCCCATGATCCGTACCAGCAGTCGTGTTCCTTGTTACTTAGGGAAATGAATCGAAAGCTATGTCCACACAAAAGCCTGCACACAGATACTCAGGGTAGCTTTACTCATCACTGCCCCAAACTGGGAAACAACCAAGCTATCCTTCAGTAGGTGAACATGGTATACCCAGACAATGGCATACAATTCAACACTAGACAGAAAGTGATTTTTCAAGCCATGAAAAAGACACAGAGGAACCTCAAATGACTATTACTAGTTGAAAGGCGTTGATGTGAAGACTGTACACTGCATGACTCCATCTCCGTGACATTCTAACGAAGGCAGAACAAAGGAGACAGTGAAAGCCCGGAGTGGTTGCAGGGGTTAAGGAGGAGGGCGGGACAAACAGGGGAAGCACAGCCAGTCTCCTGGGCAGTAGTACTGTTCTGAATGACACTATACTGATGGATACGTGTCACTATGCGTTTGTTGAAATCCACAGTAGAATGAACCCTCATATAAACTCCGGGCTCTGGGTGATGACAATCTGTCAATATAGCTAATGGATTCTAACGGATGTACCATTCCGGTACAAGACAGAGATCGCAGGGAAGGTTATACATGTGTAGGGGCAGGGGATGTACGGGAACTCTCTGCATCTCCCCCTCAGTTTTGCTTTCAAACCCAAACTACTATAAAAAAAAAGTTTATTAAAAACTTCACCAACTCTTGTATTTTCTATCTTTTGCTATTTTCTCTTTAAATGAGCCCTCAGCTTCTGCTTGACTTTCAATTTTACCATCCACTGATGGGCCTGACGGAAGCCAGTCAATTAGCACTCCAGGGCAAAGTCTCCAGCTGGCTTAGGAGATCCATTCCGTATCCCACAGGCCTCTTGTCCCAGGCACTACCTTCAGTTCACTCAAGACTATGCAGCGAAGCAAGGTGACCCCCTGGCCCGGGGCCCCGGCAGTACCTGGAGGGAGGGTCTCCATGCTCTGTGCTTTCTCTTCTCCATCGCTGTGATGAAGGTCTTTCTTTTTAATGGGGTCAATCTCATTCCAGTCCTCCTAGGGGGAACAGAGACACCAAATGAGTTGATTGCTTCTTTAAGCACACCTTCATTCACCAAGTCAATACATACTGAATCTGCCGATGCCAGGTGGCCCTGGGGAAGAAATGGTGAACGAGAGAGAGTTCTTAAGCACCCCACTCCTACCTGAGAACTTGGCAGAGTGTCACGATGAAAGAGGGGAAAGAGTGTGGGAATAACAGTCTCTCAGGAAGTGTCTGCATTCTCCTCTTCATTTTATATCAGTTCTGCACTTTGATAGGAAGCGAACACTGGGCTCCAAAAACTCCCAGTGCTTTCAGGGTAAGGAAGTGAGACGGAGAAAGCAGACTAAATGACTGACTAGGAGTTAAGCCATTAAAGCGAAGGCAGAGCTCTGGACACCTCAGCGGGTACATGGTCACCCAAGCACCAGATTCTCCAGATGGTCCCTTCTAAGCTCCCCTCAGAAGCTGTAAATTGGGGCCAGCGCCATGGCGCACTAGGTTAATCCTCTGCCTGCGGTGCAGGCATCCCATATGGGTGCGGGTTCTAGTCCCGGCTGCCCCTCTTCCAATCCAGCTCTCTGCTATGGCCTGGGAAAGCAGTGGAAGATGGTCCAAGTCCTTGGGCCCCTGCACCCGCATGGGAGACCAGGAAGAAGCACCTGGCTCCTGGCTTCAGATCGGCACAACTCCGGCTGTTGCAGCCATCTGGGGAGTGAATCAATGGAAGAAAGACCTTTCTGTCTCTCCCTCTCACTGTAACTCTACCTCTCAAATAAATAAATAAAAATCTTAAAAAAAAAAAAAAGAAGTTGTAAATTGGGGCCAGCGCTATGGCATGGTGGGTAAAGCTACTGCCTGCAGTGCCAGGATCCCATACAGGCACTAGTTCGAGTCCTGGCTGCTCCATTTCTGATCCAGCTCTCTGCTATGGCCTGAGAAAGTAGTAGAAGATGGCCCAGTGCTTGCACCCCTGAACCCATGTGGGAGACCTGGAAGAAGCTCCTGGTTCCTGACTCCAGATTGGCGCAGCTCTGGCTGTGCTGGCCATCTCGGGAGTGAACCAGCAGATAGAAGACTTCTGCCCTGCCCCCCACCCCCAGCTTCTCCCTCTCTGTAACTTTGCCTTTCAAATCAATAAATCAATCTTTTAAAAAAAAAAGTTGTAAATGCTTGGTTAGTTCCACTGACTACCACAGGACGGGGAATGGGCTTACTCAAATAGGGCTGACAACAAAACGGAGTTGCAAATTGAAGATTTAGTATGAAACCAGAACTGATTTTTGTGACTACAGTAAGAAAGCTTGCTGTATGGAACCCAAGTCAGAGATCTCTCATGGCTAGTTATTTCCCTAGCGGACTCCTGAGGGACAGGCAGGCACCACCAACCAGCCACTGCCCGAGCAGATGCCTCCAGGGTGCTGTGCAGCGGTAATCCCTCCCTGCGGGGACACAGTCCACACTCCACAGGCTTCTGCAGCCAGTGACCCCTGTGGAGCAGCTCGGATTATGCACCGTGCAGAGGTTGGTCACAGGACACATTCTGGCTCTTTAAAATGCCAAGTGAGATCTGTGAGAAGGGTAGCCCCTAGAACCTGGGCCAAATGACATGGTTCCCCCCACCGCCAATGCAACGTGTTCTGCCAGTAACCTGCATGCTGAACTCAAGAGGGACATTAGACAGACAGAAACCGTGCCTCAGCCTCCTTCCTGTCTCAGTCTTTCTTCCGACTGCTTCTGAGATGAAGCAGTGCAGCCCGGCTCATCACACCAGGGCTACCTGGAAGCAGCAGGTGTGTGGTGAGCTGGTGAGGGAAACCAGTCTGGGCCTTGGGGGGAGGGTACAAGCCCCACCCGCCCAGCACAGGACCTTTCACAGGCTGTCAGGCACTTGGATCACTGGGGATGGTCCTATCTCACTGTAATCATTTTTTTTGCTCCAAAAAAAAAAAATCTTGAAAAGTAAACTTTGTTTTTGAGATTATTTGGCTGTAAATAAACTTTCAGTTGTTCACTGATAGAATGGTGTGGCAAGTATGGCAAATATACACCAGTAAGAGAATCTAACCCAACAGTCGGTTTTACTATACAAGGAAACATGTGAGAACACTACATCAGCAAGCAATGAAGTTACTAGAATCACAGTGCATAGACTTTTAATTAAGCTTTAGTTTTAACTTTGTAGCTTATTTACAACATCTTGTGGCTAATAATTACCCCCACTCCCCACAGGCAGTTGGCCTCCTACATACACTGACTATTGGGTCAAACCATTTAACCTTGTACTTGAATTAAATCAACAGCAAATGCTGCCCGTGGAGCCTGCAGCTCTAGTCTTGTTGTCTACATGTCAGAAGCCGGTCATTAGCTACAGCATTCACCAAATCAACATTTTGGGAGGGTCAACCATCAGTGTTTTTGCAGAAAATGAACTTCTACTTCTTCCCATGAACAAGATTAATTAGTGCACAAGTAACGCTTCCTCAACCTCTTTGCCCCTCCCACTCAACTATGCCCCTTGTAAAACCAAGGTGTGAGGTGAAGTTGTGCCCACATAACCAGGGCACAGCGAAGGACCAAGCAGGTGAAGCAACACTGTGTCATTTACGAGTGCACCAAGCACTGCACCTAGGTGATTCCTCATCCTGCAACAACCTTGGCATTTTATAATACCTGTCTCACAATGAGGACACCTAACATCAGAGATATTAGTTTGTCCAGAGTTACACGGCTGGTAAGAAGCTAAAGTTGATGAGGATGATAACCTAGGGCTCAATTTAAACCAAGTTACAAGAGCTTGGTTCTCGGACTGTCATGAAAACAGTTACCATGTTAACTATATATTCTCAGAGTAAGAGGGAGAAAGAGGAAGTAAAGGCGGAGCCATGGCAGCCACTGCCTACTGGTCACAGCACTCACAAGGAGCCACACTCCATCCCAAACACCACACACACAATCTGCTTCCTGAGACATAATTATTACCCTCATGTCACACGTGAGGAAGCCCAGTCACTCAAAAGTTTAAGTAATACGAAGTCTGTAATGAGACAGGATCTGAACCCCAGGGGGTTCAGTGGAGTCCATGGTCTCAATCATTTGGCTACACTGTCTTTAGGTAAGATACTTTCCTTCTTCCCCAAACTAAACAGCCAAAGTTGAATGACCTATTATCTATTCTTTATTCATTAGAGTATGTTTGGCCAACGGGAAAAATTCCTGAAAGACGTTCAGGATGGTTGACTGGATTCGGTGGCAGAGACAATGCCCTGGGAATGACCTGCAGCTCACCTCCCAGAAGCTCATCTGTCCCATTCTCTCCTCCTCACCCCGGCCCAAGTTCTGGGAGCACAAAGTGGGGGTGGTGGGGTCAGGAAGCTCCTCTGTGAGTGGTATACACAGGACCTGGTACAAAGCCCAAGGAGATGCTGGCACAGCGCCAGACAGGTGGGGACAGGGATCGCAAAGAAGGCTGGGCATGGCACCCCAGCGGAGATGTGAGGGAGGCAAGGAGAGACAGGGTGGGGGTGAGGGTAGGGGTGGGGGTGGAGGGGTGGCAGGTGTTCCAGATGGAGAGGACAAAAAGGTGGAAAACAGGAAGTCATGGGAAGTGGTGAGTGGTCTGAGATTTACGTTCTGTAAGTACCACTGGCTGCAGGTGGGGACAGATTGGAGGGGGACAGAAAGAGGCCAGGAGACGGGGCTGGCAGAACACCATGGGGAGACAATGAGCTGCATAGGTCCTGGTCCCGGCCATGAAGAGAGGAGGCAGGTCCAGCTGTGAGGGGCTGGTGGTGAATGGAGGAAGGAATCAGGTTTCTGACCCCAGCACTTGGTCGACAGGAAGGATGGTCACCAAGAAGCACAGGAAAGTTGACTGTTTGGGCAGCATAAGAAACAGCATCGCTAGGGGAGAAAGAGGAGTTTGGTGTGGGGAAGCTGAAGACCCTGTAGATACCAAGAAGAGGCATATGCAGAAGGAAGGGCCCGCCCATCTGCACGTCTGGAAAGGGCCGTGTCAATCAAGCTCCCGGGGAGCATGACAGAGGGCACGCGGGGAAGGTGTGCGTGGACTGAGAACAGGGCCAAGCAGCAGGAGGACAGCGTCGAAGGGGCGTCCACTAGAGGAGTGGAGACTGCATGGCATGTTGGGAAGAGCCTTGGCCTTGAAACCAGAGCCTCAGAGTTCCCCCCACGGCCTCGTCGTGACAATGCAGCCTGCGAAAGCTACCTAACTTCTCAAAAATCGAGGTCCCTGCAACCCCGGGGCGCAGGAACACTCTGCTAGCCCTGGATCTTGTACACCATCATTTCACAAAGGTCTGGGATCCAAAAGGACGCGAGGTCCTCGGAGGGCACCAGGCCTGTGACATCCCTGTTTCGAATTCTCATCGTGCCAAGCGTGGCTGCTCAAACACAAACACAGCTGAAGGAAAGCTCGCCCACTCTCGCGTGGGAGCTTTTCGTCACAGCCTCCCCCCAACTGCACATCCACATGCACTAGGAGATGTGTCCACATCAGAATGCAGCCCCGTTCAGAAATGGACGAAGAAGGCTCTCCCGCCCCGTGTCTACTGCTGGCCAGGCTGTGTGGCGGCTGACCCGTGCCTGTGTTTTCTCCCTTTGGAAGGGGAGTGACAAGTGTCTTTTCAGTGACAAGTGTGAACTAGGGAGATGAGAAGAGCAGCGAAGTGGCTTACGCTGGGTGGAAAGTGGCGGAGAACTCGAGGCCTGAGATCCGGGAAGCCTGCTTGGGTTTGGACACAGCCCCATCTCCACTGTTTCTTTCTCCCTCTACAGATGGATGATGACACTGAACGCAGTGACTAACCCACTGCAGAAAAATGCACATATACAGCAGAAGGCTCAGTGGATCTGGCCGGAAGTGGGATCCCAACAGGTCTGGGAGCCCCGGCCAACCAGACCAAGGCACCTTGAGCTTAACTTTCTCACTCACGGTTTACCAGGGTGCTGGACGACCTAAACTGGGTCCTGAGACTTTTTCTTCCCTTTGTAA